ATTTATATATATATTTAAGCCTTCGAATAAACTGATTTTACATTTAAATACGATTTCCCTACGACTTTAAAGAGAGAAGGTGCCTCACTGTAGTTTGTGAACCGATTTAAGGAAGTCCCTCCTTATTACCTATTCCTATTTCAGCTGTGTTTACTTGTCTGTTAGCAGGATTACTTAAAAGGTTATGACTTAGACAACTTTTTGTCACTTTGTATACACAGAGAGTATACAAAACTAAATTTTGTTTTGTACAGCTTTAAGAACATTTGCATTCAATAAAGTAGAGCAGTGATCAAATGTAAACAGTGTGGGAGAAAAAAAAAAAACGTGGTGCAAAAACGCATTGATATGGAAGTTCAGAGATTGATATATATGTTGCAAATATGCAGTATTTTTGGTTTGGTGTTATCAGTGTGATGCAGAGTTTGTGACAGCTCTAGTTTTTGGTTATGGATGGATTTTAACAAAATTTTTTACCAGAAGTGCGCCCGCCTGTTTCATGTTAAAGAATAATCCATTAAACTTTGGTGATACAGAATCTGGATACAGGATTTTTTCTGAGGGATTTCTTTTAATAATTTGGCGGAAAAAGCAATTCACCCTTAAACCAGAGGGTGGCAACAGTAAGTATTTAAATAGGACTCAAAAAAGTCCAGAAGTATTTTCATAAAGACAAGAAAGGGCTCGATCCGCTGATCAGAGTGAATGAAGGTAAGAGCAGAACAGACACCAGAGGCTGCAGACACACGCCATGCCTTAATAATGAACATGAAAGGATTCTAAGGACATTTTTTTACCAAATCTGCACCTCATGCATTCGGTTATAATCCGGACCGTGTGAGTTTTAGCTCTAGATGTAGATCAAAAGCAAAATTCACTGCTTGGCAGAGGTCTGCGCTCTCTGAGTGCTTTTCTAGTCTGGGATTCTATGTCAAGTGGTGCCCAAACTATGCAAGTCATATTACATAAAAGACCAAAACTAGAACTAAACTTAATAAAATCTAAACTGAAGCATTTTCCAAAAATAAAAACTAAATAAAGCTAGTTAAAAAATACTAAAATAGAATATAATCAGAAGTGAAACACAATAAAAAGAAAATGTCTAAACTATTTAAGCGTTGTTAATCAGTCTCAGACAGTACTTGTGTAATCTCTAGGTTAGTGAACATGTAGCTACGCCGTTTATTGCGTTAAAGCAGGAAGGAATAAGCTGTTATCAGCTTGTAGTAGCAGCACGGTGTTTAACCTGATCCCTCAGCACAGCAGCTACGGACTGCAACAGGTTAAGATGGACGCTCTGAATTCAGATGTAAATGGAATCAGGATAAAGTAGCAGAAGTGAAAATTAAGAAACCTGTAGCCTCAAACACGTCCACACATTCCTTCAATCTAGACTTTGGACTTCACTCACTGCAGACGACTTAAATTCAAAGAATGATTACAGAACGCTGAGGTAAAGACTCCACCTACTTTTCCCTGCTTTATGTTTCCTAACTCTTATCTCCAATAGTGTCTTTTTGGTATTATTATTTTTTTTTACAGTGAAAGCCATGTGCGCCCTCCCCCCGCCTCCTCACCTGAGTCCAGCAGAAGGAGATCCCGGGCTGTGAGTAGCCAGACCGTGAGGGTTAGAAAAGTTCTGTAGCTCCTCTTCTGACAACATCACAGCAGACAGAGCACACAACCACAGAAACATCACTTCATGGCTCAACAGTCAAAAGAAAGTACAAAATTCACAGTTAAAGCTACTGATCGTACTCAGGTTACATAAGGAGTGAGATGCAAAGACTGCTGACTGGGAGCGGGTTGGAGGGGAGAACATTTATAGGAGCGATGGGACAAAAATGGTGAGTAGTAGTCATATTTAACATGTAGTACATGAGGGATTCTTTAGTCAGAGCTAAATCGGGAAGTATTTCTTCCTTCCACTTAATTTCCAATATATATTAATACTAATACAAATGCGTTACCTTCTAGTGTTTCCTTCTCCGAGTCTGAGTCCCAGCTCAGAGAGGAAGGAAAGGCAGAGGACTTGAATCTCCTGGGCTGCTCGGAGTCGTCGCCCCACGCGCACTCAGCAGCCATCAAGCCATCGCTCTGATTGGGCGAAGATGAGGACTAGATGACAGAAGGACGAGCAACCGGAGTTAATGGAGAAAACAGCAACGATGACGATGGCGGTGAAGGTCTTACCTCTAAGCTACAGTTGAGGAAGTTGGAGGGGATGGGATTCTGAGCTGCAGGGTAGGATAGGGGCCCATTGCTGGTCCCTGGGGTTAGGGGTTGCTCATCTGGCTCCATGGTCCCCCCCCCAGAGAATGGAGTCCCACTTGCAAACAGCCTCCCTACATTGTGCAACCTCCTCTGAGTCTGAAACGTCAAAAAACACATGAACTTAACTTGAACTTTTTTTTTTTTTTTTTTTTTACAATTGCAACAACTTTATAGAGCCGCGTGCTGCAGGGATGTGCAAAGCAGAGCAGGAAATAAGTGCAGATTCTGGTCTAATCTGCAGGATCCGGTCATAGTTGCAATGATCGTGTATCCCTGCTTCGGTTTCACCGTTTAGGGATCAAACGGGGCGCCTGGATGGTTACATAAATAAGTGGCCTTTATATTCAGGCCCATGTCTTCCTCTGCCTGCTGCCCCTGCAGGAAGCAGGGAACCGGACCGAGGTGTCTGCTGCCTCCCTCTGTCTGTCTCTGAGGACGTGGCTCTTATCGATCTGTCAGCTGACTGGATCTTTTTTTTTTTTTTTACTGCAGCTGTGTTGATTTCTTTTTTTTTTCTTTCTTTTTTTAGCGAGTACTCACTGAAATCGGCCTGGTTTGCGCGTTGCACAAGCTGAGCCACCGTCTACGCACCGTCCGACATAGTTTGTGGGTCCGGACCGGAGCTGAAGGAGCCGAGCAGGAGGCTCCAGAGGCGGACGCGCTCAGCCCGCCCCCTCCTCCCCGGGTCCGGGTCTCTATGCGCCGCTCAGGTTTTTCGGTAGGATCCCTCCTCGGAGGTGCCAGGCGGAGGACTCCATGTTATTGAGCTCGCAGGCGCGCCACGGCTGCGTGCGTAACGTCAGCGGGGAGGGCCACGGAAAGAGTTAGGAAGAACCCACCCGGGGGGCAAATTTAATTAAGCAAACTTTCACCACTGCGCTTCTTCCTCTTTTACGCACATTTATTTCGTCTAAAATGTTTTTTTTTATTATCCTCTTTATTAAAACATAAATATATATCTTATAATAAATCGCAAAAAATGAAGATAATAAAGCTACACATTTATCAAAGTATTTTTTTAGTTGACATCCATTCAATTTATCTTTCATTTTATATTCAATAATATTTTTAATTCCACGTATTACACTGTAAGTACACAGCTGTTCCCGTTCTTGGAAACGTAGGTATCCAGATTTTAGTGAGAAAATGTTTGTTATATTTAATTTCTGTCGATTAATTCATTTAACATTAATAAAGGCTGAAAATAAAACGGCACATATTTATGAGACCGTGGGGTTGGCGCCCCCTGGTGGCACCCGGAGACACTGCGTTTCTTGGGGACTTTTAAAGTCGCTTAAACATGTATATAAATTTATTCTTTATCAGACTATTTTGTCCCAAAATTTAGAAAACT